AAGGCGATTAACTTTCTTGTTGTGCTTAAACGCCTGGAAATTTGATTTGAGTGACGTGTAAAATTGATAATCACTTCATGTGTCACATACTTGATCTTGTCCTACTCGATCGATCGAGCTAGTTCCTTATTATTCTTGTTATGTGTTTTTCGTTTAACAACCCTATGTACTTCATGTGTCTGGAGGAACTGGAAGCTGTTTTCGAACAAAACAGATGCTTTAGCAAAAACGTACTGAATCAAATAAGGTAATCTCACATACATTACTTTCGCACATGAAAGCGTGTTATTGATTTGGGATACAGCCACTATGACGTACAACATCTTGGTCTTTTTCGGTTGTACTTCTACAGTATTTCTTAATTGATTTTACTTTGTCTTTGATTGGTGTCAACTAGTACTGATTGACTGCAATACAAATATACCAATATAAAATCCCCCTCCTCCAAGAAAACACCGAGAGAGAGAGAGAGAGAGAGAGAGAGAGAGAGAGAGAGAGAGAGAGAGAGGCCTTCAGTCAGCAGGCCTACTCATGATACTGTAAATGACTTACAACCCCTCACACTCCTAAAGAGAGAAATTGAGAGATGGCTGCAGCCGAGGAGGAAACCAGTAACTCCGTCGAAGCCTATCCGATGAAAGGCGGAGACGGTCCCAACAGCTATGCAAACAACTCTACTTACCAGGTTTTTATATACGAGCAACTCCACCCATTGAGCCCTCCCCCCTAGCAATCCACTATTCAATCCACCCTATTGAACAGTAACTGCTTTAAATAAATAGTAATTATCATTAATGAACAGTAATTGTCATTTACATCTCCACCCTTGGAACCCTCCCCCTTGGCAATAAGCAATAAAAATAATAGTTTTTTATGTTTGTTTAAATAATAAAAAATTACAAAAGCTATCTCTCTCTCTCTCTCTGACACAAAAAAAATAAAAAATTACAAAACCCTCGGGCCACAGGCCCGTCGACTCCCCACTCCCCCTTCGCTCGACCTCCCACCCTCACTCGGGCCCTTCCCCGCTGGATTTGCTCCCACCGGCCCGAGGGCCCTTTCTCCTCGCCTGACGCCCGAGCAACCAGCAAGGCTGGAGTTGCTCTACTAGTTTATAAGAACTTGTTACACATTAAATAAGATCTGACTGCTGTAATCCAACAGTCTAAAATTGTTGTTTCCTTACTAAAATTAAAGGGTGATTCAGAGCCTGTTTGGTATTTTGTTTAAAAAATTGGACTTGCAAAGTTTGAAATGGAAACTAGTCCACTGTGAGCCACCTCCAGATCCTGACCATAGCGGCCGCGGACGGCAAAATTCAAAGCTCGTGGCGGAGATTGTGCTTGATTTCTTAAACTTTTTTTTTTTTTTTTTTCCTTATGTTCTCAAGAGGTAAGGCTTTTTCTTGAGTTAGTTTCGATAGTGTTCTTAATACAAAACCGAGCCTAGTGGCGTTTTAGAATTCATATAATTGACTCCCGTTTTTTAGAGAAACATCTATCAGGCGCTTCAAAAAGCACTTCCAAGTGCTTTTCTAGGAAGTACTTAGATTTGTAATAAATATGTTAACATGCTTATTATAAAAGTATTCTAACTTACGAGCGCAAGTGCTTTTTAGAGAAGCGATCCCAAACAAGTCTTAAGGTATTTGTCTTGTTATTTTAAGCTGGTGACTAATTGACCTTGGTATTTTCTTGTTTCTCAAGAAACTCGTGGAATCCTCTTCCGTTCTCGAATCAAAGAAATCTGCTAGCGTGTTTGTCGTTTGAACATTTGAAGCTCCTCCGAAAGAATTTTAATTTGTAGTTTGAATAAGGAAGATCGTGATTAAGTACTTTTCCCACAATTTTCTCACTAGCCAAACAGAATTTCAGAGCTGAATACAAACCAACTTAATGAGTAAAGGTAGTAACCTACCTACTTTGTTGAGAGCCGAGGATGAAGGATCGACCTTCAGCCTTTCGAGAAAGAAACCCTAGAAGCAGCTGAAGCTGTGGACCGACACAGGATGAAGAAAACCTTTGGATTTGAAATTTGACGTTTCATTTGAAATTTGGCCTAGAATTCATGTCGGATATAACCGACATGAATGCTAGAATTTCTGGCCCAGCCCGGAGCTAGCTGGCTGGCTGAATTGGACCAGCCGGTTGGCCTTTTGGCCCTTTCAGATTTTGTGGAGTCCACGAGCCCTTTGGCCTAGCCTTCGGTTGGAAACGGTTTTCGGACTATTTTCGGCTATTTGGACCTCTAGACCCTTCAGTTTAAGATGACCTTACAGTGATGGGAGAGCCCGTGTTAAGGACCCTCTGACATCTAACGAGCCCTTCGATTCCATCCATGGCAATGGTTCTCACCATGTTCTCACCAAGGTGCTGAGCCACCTCGAGCACCAATCGGATCGAGTTATCCAGGTCCTCGAGAGCCCTGATGATCGGCAGCAACCCCTCGTCGAACCTAACATCGACGACGGCTCCGATCACCTGGCAGACCTTGCCTACGGCGTCCTTTCCGGTGAAATCATCTGTGATTTTTCCACTCACCTACGGCATAGCAGGCGTAGGAGGCGCGGTGGCTGCTGCGGCTGGTGACGTCGAGTAGTAGGCGGCGCGCAAAATGAGGTACCCCGCGGGCCGCGTGAGGGGGGATATGGGGGCTGTGGGTCTAGTGGCGGAGGCAGTGCGGCAGAGAGAGGTGCGGAGGAGAGTGGAAAGGAGCTTGCGGGAGGAGGACATTATGGTGTTTTGGTAATTTTGATCCGAAATGAAGGTTGTTTTCTTTTGTTTTTGTGAAGGGTCAGTTGGCAGGAGCGTCGCTCATTGGGTGATCGCCACCTGTGGTGGTGTGGTTGGGCGGAGGACGCGGAAGAAACGGAGAGGCAGAGTAACAGAGTGTGAGAGAGTGAAAGTGAGAAGTATGTGGATTTTTAACGTCACTCCTTACCTGGAATTTTGGTGTTCGTTTTACTTTTTTAACAATATGCGTCCACAATTTCGTTGAATTTAACCACGTGGCTTATCGACCATCACGGTGGTTCAGCTGGGGACTACTTTTAGATTCATAATTCACACAACATGTCTTAAATTCGATTCTTGGTATTTGTGAATCACAGAATAATGGTTAGAAAATGTTGAAATCTCTCTATAAGTCTTCCAAACTTACAAAAAGGTGGACTGTTGCAACGAAATCACAGACTAATCCCCTATTAAAGAAAAGAAAACCACGTGACTCATCAATTCAACCTTTTGAGATTATGTATTTAATTTTTATTTAAAATATATAAAGGGGATTTATTAAGTTTTAAATTGGACTGGAATTTAATTCGAATTCGTTTTTACGAGAATTGAATTTATTACTTTTCATTTACAAATAAAAAAAAAGAGTAATGTTAGAGAGATTAAATTTGTAAAGTAAGTAATGTGTCACGAATAGAAATAAGTACATTTATCAACGCTTAAGTAATAAACAAATTATCAACTTTCATGACATTTAGTTTCTAAAATTTAATCTTTTTAGTATTACTCTAAAAAGAAACATCCCTAACCGTAGTCACAAGAGTGAAAGTGTGTACGTGTCATTCATACAATTTTTCATTCTTAAAATTTGAATATAATTGTTAATTTTAAATAATTGATTTAAAATATAAAAAGTGAATGAATGGATTAGCAGGACCCAAAAGAGGAAGGAGTTGCACGGTAGCCCACAGGCGCATAGAGAATGACAGCAGCAATGGCCTCACACACAGTCACAGCAGTCTCCTCCTCCTTGATTATGCCTCTCAATTCTTCTCAATCATTTCTCAGACCCTCAAATCTCCCCCTCCAAAGCCCACCTCAATCCAACCCCACACATCGCAATCCCATCCTCAAATTTCCCACCACTAGAACCAGAGCAACCGTTGACGGCGGCGAACAAAGCGCCACCGCCGCACCTGTGCTTGTCCAGGAACCGCCGCAGCCCACCAAAGTATGCTTTTTCTCATTGTTTTTTCCTTTGGAAAAATTAGCTAAAATCGTTTTTGATGGATTGCATCTAGTAGAAAAACTTAAGAAGTGCTTCTTGATTGAAGAAGCACTTCTTGGGGAAGCACATACTAGTGAAAGAAGTTATATTTTGATAATTTGATTAAGTTATGGTGTTATTGTTTGGTTAAGGAAGTGGAGGAGAGTGTGAAATTGCTCAAGAATGCCGCTAAAACAAGACGGGTTGCGAAGGAGAAGGTCCTGTCAGCTCTATCGGTCATTGAGAAGGGAAAGCTCGAGCCTTCCGGGTTTCTTAATACGCTGGGCGGAACAGAATCCCCGGGGAGAACATGGATGCTCATATTTACTGCTGAGGTTAGTATAAAGCTTTCACCTTTTCCATAACCATGTTCAATTTTTCACCTTTAATCTGAGAAATGAGAGCATTATTTGGTTTTTGTTGTATTTGCAGAAGGAATTGAAGGGCGGTCGCTACTTCCCTATTACCGCAGTTCAGCGATTTGATGCTGCTGTAAGTCTTTTTATCTGTGTTTCGATCACTGGTGCCTAAATTTTGTAGTGAGCCATTTCTTTGCTGAAGTTGCCTGGATATTATTGTTGTTCAAAACTAAATAGGAGCTCTTAGAAGCTCTCATCGTTGATAATTATCGAAACGTAGGCATGAGTAGCATTTTCCTCGTTGCATTTCAACTTTTGAGACTAACAAATGTCTGTCGGGGTTATCAGGGAAAGAGAATTGAGAACGGAGTGTATTTTGGGTCATTTGGATGCTTAACATTTGAAGGAAGATTTTCCTGGAAGAAGAGAATACTAGCCTTCATCTTTGAGTCCATCCGGATAAAAATTGGACCTTTGAAAACCCTAGAGATCGGTCTAGGCCAGAAAGACGACAGAGAGCCTAGCACGAAGGATCCATTCTTTATATGGTTTTACATTGATGAGGAACTAGCAGTTGGCCGAGGCAAAAGTGGGGGGACTGCTTTCTGGTGCCGTTGTCGCCGTGTTATAACTTAATTTCTATTTCAGTCAAATACAGATGTTGGATTCAGTTTTACGGATCATATTATACATACACATACCTATATCGGGAAATATCAAGGCTATGTGATGCTTCGTTTACATTATTTTAAGCCGAATCTGGGACCATTTTATTTTAGGTGTTTCTTCTTTGGCATCATTCGGCTTTCTGGCGATCCCGGTTGTAATTGATTAGATCTTCTGCCGTCGGAATACTCCCTTTGATTATTGGAATTTCAGTGAATCTCTGTGCCCATTCATGAAGAAATGGCAACTCCTTCGTGTCAAACAGCTTTATGCCTTCAGATTCTTCTAAGAACTTGAGCCAGTTAGGTAAAGTACCCACCACTAAGTCCAGGAAACCAATGATTTCTCCTCCGAAGAATTTCTTGCCTTCGATGAGCTTGTTCAGAACTTCGAGTGATTCTCGTGCTGCCTCCAAGGATTTCTCTTGTTCATGCCCCTTTGTACGGCTAGCAGTCCATGCACTGATCACACACTGCATTCCGTAGTGTTTGAAAAGCTCATTAGCTTCTTTTTTCAATACATGTATGTATAATTACATGTACAAGCATTCATATATATATATATATATATAGAGAGAGAGAGAGAGAGAGTGCAGTGTGAATGTTGTTGTTTACCTTCTCGTCAACATACTTTGCCCAAAATCGCGCCTTTGCTTTTTCGAATGGATCTTCTGGCAACAGTGGGTTCTCTCTCCATGTTTCATCTATGTACTCAAGGATGACAAGGGACTCTGCAACTGGTTTTTCGCCGTGCACAAGAACGGGGACTTTCTTATGGACAGGATTATACCGAAGGAGCAGGTGACTCTTGTTTCTCAAATCTTCTTCAATGTACTCGTACGCTATCCCCTTGTGCTTCAGCGCCCATTCAATTCTGCAGCAAAAAAGACTCAGAGAGGCTCCGATCACCTTAACATCTCCCATTTTGAAGTCTGCGAATTCTGAAATCGAAAGTTTTCAATCTCTTGAAGCATTGGCCTGAGCTTTATAGAGGCGGGATTTCGCAAAGCGTCACATTTCTTGCAGAGAAAGTTGCAAGTCAGTCAACTCTCTTGTTTATTAGTCAAAAGTATTGTTTAGTCTTGGATGAACTTTAATCTCACCTGATGTGTTGAACTTTCAAACTAAGGATAGAATTTGTTTCTTGCATCATGACCATTTGATCCCCTCTTCTAGAAATGTAGTGATGTATGTGAGGTTCGTGTCGAAGAAAATTAAGCGCACGCGCACGATTACGCTAAGTTTTGACAAGGTTCTAAAAGATGCTAGGTTCTAGTCGGGCGGTAAGTTGAGGTCTAGTGCCTAAACGGCTAGGCGGGGTCTAGGCAGGTGCCTAGGCAGACTAGTCGGATTTAAGTAAATTATTATATTTCGTGTAAATAAGTGTTTGTTTATATTGAAAATATATATATTTTCATTATAAACTACAAAATAAAATGACATATATATTATGAAGTATTGAAACATAATGAAAACATAGGGAATAAGCATATAATGTGTGTTCATTTAACTATTTAGCAAGTTTCTTACAATTTATTGAAAAAAATAAAATACAAAATGAAAGTTATCTATTTTCTATCTAAGCGAGTCGCAACCTAAGCGGGTGCCTAGGCAGGTTTGGGTGGGCTACACGGATGCCTCATCAAGTCTAGGTGCCCTTTCTTAATTTTCAAACGTCTAGACATTAATCGGGGCAGTGGCCAGCCGCCTAGCACCTAGGCGGTGATTTTTAGAACAATGAGTTTCAATATAAGGTTAGTTTTTTTTTTTTTTTGTCAAATCAATATAAGGTTAGTTGTTTACAGCTTCTTGTACTAATTTGCATTACTATCAGCTTCTTCTTGAATAGCAATTTTGCTATGATATGCATTTTGTACCTGCTCTCTGCGGTTCATTAAACTTGCCTTAGAACCGAGCAGCGAGTTTGGAAGATCATCTAAATTGTTCCCTCCACATCAGAAATTCGGAGTTGTTTCAATACAATGTGGTGCTGCAACGTAATGACTGTTTCGATTTAGTACATAATAGTTGTCCTGTCACGCGATAAAATTAACTGAATTTCTCTTCGTTATTTCATTTATTGTAGCAAATACAGAGACGACAACAAGACTCAATCAAACAGTAATCAGATTCGGAGGTGAAGAGATGGAGTGCGAAATCATGGTTTGTTGGCGGATAAGGAACGCATGTAACCGATCATAAATCGGAGGTAGGTGACCAATGCTTCTTTAGCCGGAATGCATTCTTCAATGAGTGGAGTGTGGATGAAATTCTGACCCCATTGGTGGAGAGACGGAAACATCTCTGCTTCAGGTACCTTGTTGCCTCCAGCTTCTTCCATAGCACTTATCCAGTGAGGTATCCATCCCAATACCAAATCTAGATACCCTATTTGTTCGCCGCCGAAAAACTTCTTCCCTTCGATCTGCTTCTCAACAAGCGCTAGTGATTCTAATGCAGATTCTTTCGCCTTCTCCTGCGCTTCGCCTTCTCCCGTGCAAGCTGTCCACACCGAAAGCACAAGCTGGAACATGAGCATGTACAAGAAAATTAGTATCGAGCCGGGAAAGCTTAAGAGATTCTCAATCAACCATATAGGATCAAACACAGGCCGTCTGCACTCAAAACTGAATATGTTAACGGAGTGTTAAATTCACTAGCCGCACACAAAAAGCATAGTTGTGTCACTTGCATACATGTTTTGCACAAAAGGGGTACCTTTTCATCGTTGAATTTAGCCCAAAAACGAGCTGTGGCTCGGTCATATGGGTCGCGAGGCAGCAACGGGTGCTCCTTCCATGTATCCTCGATGTACTCGAGGATCACAAGTGACTCGACGATGACGTTTTCACCGTGCACGAGCACCGGCACCTTCTTGTAGATGGGGTTGTACTTGAGGAGCAGGGGACTCTTGTTTGCTAAATCTTCTAATATGAACTCATACTCCACACCCTTGAGCTTCAATGCCCACTGAATCCTAGCACAGAAAACGCTTCCTTCTGTTGCAAACAGCTTCACGACCCCCATTTTCTACCTCCACAGCTTTCAAATTTGTGCCTTGGCAACTTTTCTTTATAGAGGGAGAGGAAAACACTCTTCGACTCGTCAGCTTCTTGTGCACATATAATATTATTGTTTTGACAATGGAGAGAGAAAAATCAAACTCAGACGTGCATGCAGACGTAAATACACTCGTAATCACTTGGAAAGGAATCATCTCCTTATCCTGCCACCAAATCTACCAAGTCCTGGAATCCAGACTTTTGAAATTTGATCAAACAACTGCAAACATGGAGTTTCTTTAAAAGTTATAATAACTGTAGCAGTTAGATCAAATTTCAACGGTTTGGATCTCCGAACTTGGTGGATTTGGTGGAAAGAATCCGGAGAAAATCATTTTCCCTCAATTTTTTTTTTTGTCAAAATATCGATTGGATATTATCGTTTATCAACATATTATTCATTTACACGTGAAACATAATAAAAGATTGCAACGTATTGTTCACAACTCACTTTTACTTTCTAAATATTTGTTAATTTTAGTCATTGATCTTCTTTAATTTATTCAATCCAACGATCAAAAATTAAAAAGACGTTTTAAAAATAAAAAACTAGATGTGTCTACAACATTACCTAACATATATTAACATATATTAAAGCTACAAGGAGTGAGCACCCCTAAGTTGACCAACAAAAAAAATGGTTAGCGAGACCAATATAAAGGTATCAACCACTCCATCATGACATCATCACTTACGCACATACGGGCACGTCGAGCGGGTAGTCGGGTCTAAAGGGTTACATATCAGTGACCCGAAAAGGTTTGGATATAATCGTGGGCTTCCCTCGGCCCAAGACCAAATTGTAATATAGAGCGAGTCAAAAGTCTAAAACACCCCCAAATAATCTTCAAAATTAAAAAGTGAACCACTCCAATTAAAAGCAGAAATAAAAAAATAAAAATAAAAAAGTTAAATTGGCGTTTGCTTCTACACGCTCTCTGTCTCTCTCTCTCTCTCTCTCTTTGGGCTTCAACGGCTTTCTCGTCTGCGCAAATTTTTAAAACCCTAAAGAATTTTCCCGAGAAAATGATTTTCCCGGAAAATTCCAAATTGTGAATGGAAGATTCACCGATAAACCTCACTTGAAAAACGTAAATTGAACAAAAATTTCAGTGAGGTGATAAGTCGGAGAGCGACAATGGCAGAGGTCGATCTGACGAAGAAAGTGGCGGATAGGTATCTGAAGCGCGAGGTTCTTGGTGAAGGTACCTATGGAGTCGTCTACAAAGCCATCGATACGAAGGTAAAAGCCCTATCATTCGTGGAATTTTTGTCAATTTTTGAGGATTTCTTTTGCTTTGTGTAGTCTTTCGAGTTCTGGGTTGTGAATTTTTCGTGTTTGTGTGTGTGTGTGTCTGTGGAATTGGTTTTAGGACTTGTTTGTTTGCTGAGAAAATTGAGCTCTGAATCTGAAAATAACTTCCCCTTTTTGGATGGAATATGAATGTTTTTACGTGTGAGGGCGAAGTCCTGGGACATTATAGCTTCAAGTTTTTTTTTTTTTTTCTAACTTTTCGCTATACGTAAATGGGTTGCAATTGGTTTTGGTGCAGACGTTGAATACTTAATCGCCTTTGAAATGGAGTTCTTTAACACAATATTGCATATACTTATGTTGTAAGAAAAAAAGGAAATTGTTGTTGTAACCCATAATATGAGAATGGTTTTTCACTTTCTAAGCTACCAAATGAGCAACTAACGAATCGGTGATATTTTGAAGTGGTTTAAAGTTTTCTTTTCTTTTGCTTATGACCGAATGTACCATAATAAGTTTGATGAGTGATCTCTATCGATTCTGATTTTGGTTCCAATACATTCCTTGTGCAGACGGGACAGACGGTTGCTATTAAAAAAATTCGTCTTGGGAAGCAAAAGGAAGGGGTGAATTTCACAGCACTTAGAGAAATTAAACTGCTTAAAGAGCTGAAGGATCCGAACATTATTGAGTTGATTGAAGCATTCCCGCATAAAGGAAACTTGCATCTTGTATTTGAGTTCATGGAGACGGACCTTGAAGCTGTTATACGTGACCGGAATATATTTTTATCACCAGCTGACATAAAGTCATATCTTCAGATGACTTTAAAAGGACTTGCTGTTTGCCACAAGAAATGGGTTTTACACAGGTAGTCGTTTTGCGTCTAGAAGCTTTCTTTATAGATCCTTATTTGGTTGTTATTATTTGTCTGAGATGTGTGCTAAACTGCTAATTGTGCTTTGCAGGGATATGAAGCCTAACAACTTGTTGATAGGATCTAACGGGCAGCTTAAACTGGCAGATTTTGGTTAGCACGAATATTTGGGAGCCCAGATCGCAGGTTCACTCATCAGGTATGTTTCCCCTTGACTTGATGGTATTTGAGTTAGATCTCTTAACGTATAATTCTATGCTTTTTACTGAAAGCAAACCTACTGAAGTTCCACTGCTTGTCCTTTGCACTGTGAGTTTGGTTTAATGCCAGCATTCACTTGTCTTAGAAACCTTCTCTCCATGGTGGTATTGGTTGTTATACTTCTCCATGTGAGAGATAAAACAAGTCTGGTGGGTATTAGAATGAAACACTTTTGAAATGGCCTTAAGAAATTAAGACTCCTATCTTAATAATTTTCCAATATATTGTACAACCATGAGTGTATATGACCCTTTTTACCTTAAATTATTAATAGACTGTGTATCTGCTTTGGAAATTATGTTCAAATATCTGACAATTTGGCGAATTCCTTCAAAGTCTACAAAGATGGTGTTTAATTTATATACCACTAAAAAGTGCATTTCTTTCAATGATTTGCATGCTTTTAGGTTCAGGCTCTTTATAACATCTTAACACATATGAATAGGTTTTTGCCCGTTGGTATAGAGCACCTGAGTTGTTATTTGGCACCAGCAATATGGACCTGGGGTAGATGTTTGGGCTGCAGCTTGTATATTCGCTGAACTTCTCCTACGCAGACCCTTTTTGCAGGTAAATCCATATTTCATAATCGTAATGAAACTCTTTTTATGTGGTACACCTTTCCATTAGCCAATATGTTTTTTAACATTTACAAAATGCTAGTTTGTCCTTTACTTCCCTGTGACTCTTACTGTTGTGGTTTTCGTTTTCTGTGTGGCTTACGTGTTCATGTTTTCAAATTCTTATTACAAGTACTCGTTTCTAGGAGTGGGCAAAAAACAAAATGACTTTGTTTGATATTATTTACACCAAGAGAAAAATCCTGTATTGGGTTATATCTTCGTGTGCTCATTTTAATAGCCACCTTTAATTGCGTCTCACTCTTGAGATTTTACTTTACTACACATTTCTGTCATTTCTTCTGAATGCTTGTCCAGTTAAAATTAAGTATGGTTCTCACTAGCTAATATTTTACTGACTTCTTTAATAAATCAATTTTGAGCACCTTTGCTGAATAGCATGAATCTGCTCACTTTTTATCTGTATATCAAGTTCTAACTCGTCAGGTGATATATTGCAATGGTTTGTCATGTGTAATTCTGTTATTGCTCTCCATGGGCTGTGCATAAATAAAGTTTATACTGGGTGCACCTTTTTCTAATAATATATTGGTTTCATTTGAGTATTTAATAGGGATCAAGTGATATTGATCAACTAGGAAAGATTTTTGCGGCTTTTGGGACTCCAACACCTTCTCAGTGGCCTGATATGGTATACCTCCCGGATTATGTGGAATACCAATATGTTCCAGCACCCCCTTTGCGTTCATTGTTTCCAGTGGCTAGTGATGATGCCCTAGATTTGTTAGCGAAGATGTTTACCTATGACCCCAAAGCTAGAATATCCGTACAGCAGGCATTAGAGCACAGGTATCAGACTCTAGCTATTCAATTGGGTATCTACACTTTATGGTTTTCTCTTTCCATTCTGTGTGTGATCTCTGTGGTACTCTTTAGGTACTTTACATCTGCGCCTCTTCCTACATATCCAGATAAGCTTCCTAGACCTGCTCCAAAGCGGGAGTCTAAGGGTTCAGATTTTAATCCAAATGATGGTCCTACTGTGTTATCACCTCCACGAAAATCAAGGAGAGTGATGCCAGAGCGTGATGGTTTTGAAGGAAATTCACACGTTGATAAGATTGATGATCGTTTTGGTGAAGCCAGACATGCTGCTGGTGAAAATACAAGCAGGAATGAACCGGTGCCAATGTCAGTTGATTTTTCTATCTTTGGAGCAAAACCTCCAAATAGACCTACAATTAATAGGTAATCCACTTTTTTTTTCTTTTTTTCTTTGGATTCTGAATTTAGCATGGTCTCTCTTGGAATGATGGAATCACACGTTCCATGTGTATGCCAGTTTGTGTTTGCTGTGTGACCGAGTAGAGTGTGGATTTTTTATTGTTTTGTTTCCTCTTCTGCAGTGCTGACAGAACACATCTAAAGAGGAAACTAGATCTTGAATTTCAACTGCCTGAATAAGAACATTCTATGCACAGAATCATATACCGTATTTGTTTGAAAGATGTAAGATTGCGGGTCTCACATTAATGAGGTATGTTGCTAATGTTCGAAGTATGTCTTGATACGCAGTAGTATTCGTTTCATTTTATACATCTGCTTTCAAGGTTTTCAATGGCTTTCGTATGTTGAGATTACAGGGGTGAGATAACATTCGGTGAAGTCGAAGATAATCATGATGCAGATAATTATGTTTGGAGGCATACAAATAATTTGATGATATTAAACCGAAAATTTGTACCTAGCCCATGTAAGGCTAAATTTTGAGAGCTTTTTGTGTTGTGTTGCTACATTATTTTCGGTGTCGAATTGTTGTGGGTAATTACTGATTGGGTGCCAACATTCATACTGTTATCGAACTTACATACGTTGTATTTTTTAAGATGAAAGACAATGTAATGGATTCATGTTGCCTTTTTTATTCTTGATGATGGGTGTGGTGTGATTGAACATTTCAGGAAGAATTGCACCAAGACAAAAATGGATAATGACACTTATGCTAAAAAATGCTTATATTAGAAGCACATAGTAGAATCTCTTTCAAAAAGCACTGGAAGCACTTTCAAGTCACCAGAAGCGCATAAACTTAGAAGCACTTTTATCTTTTCCCTTGCCAAACATGTCCAAAAACGCTTTTGGAGATCTAAAAATGCTATTAGTTATTTTAATGACACTTTTATGCAAGATGGTCTAGCGACACTGGGGACCATTTTGTTGAAAGAGGAACTAAGTTTAAATCTCATAGATGATAGTTGATATAAGAAAAAGTAAGCAATGAATTAGGGTCTCACCTTCTTTTAATTTTTTATTATATATATATATATATATATATATATATATATATATATAAGAAAACCTTGACAGTACGAGAGAAATTTTATTGATAACGAAGAAAAAAAAGTTACAGCTAGTGGACATAAATATAACCCATCATAATACAAACAAAAAAAGATAAAAAATACATGACAAAAATGGGACATAAACTACTCCTTTAGGATCGAAAACAATAAAAATACAGGGTAGAGGAAGGGAGGAAGTTTTTGGTTTTTTTTTTTTTTTTTCTTTTGGGAGGGGATGGGGAGGGGTGATATAAAACCTAACCCCCTTTAAAGGCAAACTAAAAGGTCTAAATTAAGAAAGCCAACATAGTCTAAGAACAAACCAGGATGAACCACCAACAGAGAGGAATCATGCCATACTAAAGTTGAAGAAGGCAAACCCTTGTTAGCAAAATTGTCCTAGAACAACATTTACTTCGCGAAATATGTGAGAGACATGGAAAAATTATCTTCCAAACATGGTCCAAACAAATAGGCAATTGCGTACGAAGAGGCTAAAAATGATTAAAATCAGCGGATTGGAGAACAGTAACACTATAAGAATCACTATCCAACCAAATATAATGCTAACCAAATTCTAACCAATAATAATTGCTAATAATTAAAAAAAAAATAGAGAGTTGCTACAAGTCTCCATTAATCGAATAAAATTTAATCAATTACTTATTAAAGTGACAAACCAATATTTGGACTTCGAATGAGAGCTACATTTAGTATTACAACAACAATACAAGGCAAATGAACAAGTGTTATCTAATCAACATTTGACGCGACAATCTCTCCATCAACTGTAACCTTGCTGACATGAACGATCTTCAACCAATCTGCACCTTCTTTTCCTTTGCATCTTTCACTCAACTTCGAGCACCCGTCGACCTTCAGCTCTCTCAATGCACCGAGGAGATGCATCCCCTCCGGCAAGCTCGACAGCTGAGGGCAGTATTCGATCACTAGATGTTCCAGCAACTTGAAGGTTTGCAGCCACTCCGGCAGTTCCTTGAGGCCCTCGCAGTTCTTGATACTTAAGCTCTGTAGAGTGTCTGTAGACTCTTTAAGCCAAGGGGGAAGAGCCTCTAAATGCGAGACTGAAACCGATCGAAGATCGCGAATGCCTTCTCCCGACCTCATCAAGTCAAGATTTACGCAGTCGGAGATGGCTAAAGCCTTTAACGCTGTCAGGTTTTCCAAGTCACCTGGCAATGACTCTAGACTTTGACAGTTGCTTATAACCAGCACTCGGAGGTTTGTGAGGCGCTGCATCATTTCGCCGAAAGATACAAGATGACTGCAGCTGTCGACCTGTAAAAATCGAAGAGAGGTGAGGCGTTCAATTCCTTCTGGCATAACCGTCTGATTTGTTGTCAGCACCAATGTTCTGAGGTTGATCAGGTTCCCTATGTCTCTCGGCAGCTTCTTGAGTTTCTCACAATTAGTAAGTAGTAGGGTCTGCAAGTTTAGCAGCCTGCAAATGGAACCCGGAAGCTTTTGCATGCTAGGATTTTTGGACAAGTTGAGATATCTCAGGCCACTCAAGTTGCCAACAGAACCCGGCAACTCCTCAAAAGTTGAACCTCTAAGATCGAGCACCCGTAGGTACTTGAATTTCAGGATGCAAGATTTCAACACAGATTTGTTGGAGAATCCTTCATGTCCTGGAATTGGAAATAGAATGGTCCAAACTTTCTGCAACTGAAGAAAGAACTCAGGAACTCGTTCCCCTTTCTTGGTGGGTAAGTCATCCCTTGACATTGACACATGCCGAACCCTTTTACAAGTATCGGGGTTAGGACGGAAATTTATGGAAGAGCACTCTAGTTTTGACACTGAAATAGCTAAATCATGGACAAGATTATGCATTTTAAATACTATGAAATCAATCGAATCTTCCTCTATTTCAAATAAGAATCTCGAACCTAATTGCCTGATGTAGTCTAGGCCAATCTCTTCCAACTCTTGGTCTCCTTTAGATCTTGTTGGATTAGAGGATTGCAGGAAGCCTTGTGCCATCCATAGCGAAACCAAATCTGTACTTTGGAACACATAGTCTTTCGGGAACAGTGAACAAATGGCGAAACAAGGCTTCAAGTAGGGCGGCAATGCATCGTAGCTTAACTTCAGTGCAGGTAGAATGTCTTCGTTTCCCTGGTCCAATGTCCATATGTCACTGTCTCTGACTTTGGACCAAACCTGTTTCTCCCTTTTTGAATGCAGTAGGCTCCCTAGTGTGGTTACCGCTAGAGGAACCCCACCGCATTTATCTGCAATACTTTCCGCAATCTCCATCAAGTGTTGATAGCGTTGCTCCTCACCTTTTTGACCAAATGCCCGTCTTATAAGCAAAGACTTGCAAACCTTGAGAGGAAGACCTTTTAGTTGATGCACTCTCGCGGAGCTCATCAACGAAGCAACTGATTCACTGCGAGTTGTTACGATGACTTTACTCCCCTCGGCTCCAACATTTAATAGAGCTTTCATATCAAACCACTTTGCGGATGTTACTCCGACATGAGCCTTGTCCCAAACATCGTCCAACACCAACAGAAACTGCTTATCCCTCAGAGCGTCTTGCAACTTTTTCTGCATTTGGTCTAAGCTTTCATGATCACCACAGTTTTGGTTAGTTGCTGAAGTAAGAATGTCATGAACCAATCTTTTGTGATCAAAGTGGTCCGAAACACACACCCACATTCTCATGTCGAAGTTTCTGACAACCCGATGATCATTATACACCAATTTAGCAAGAGTGGTCTTGCCTATGCCTCCTAATCCGATAATGGATATAACAGAAACATGCTCGGGGGCACCGCCACTTGCTTCCTTCAGGTTCAAGTTCAAGAGATGGATGATAACCTGTTTCTTATCATCCTCTCTTCCAATAACATCATATGGCTGCACAAAAGAGTGAGTCTCCCTCTTTATGTGCACAACCTGCCAATCTCCAACTCGTTCCACAAGATGAAAGCGAGATTTTTCATCTCCCATGTCATCTAACCTTTCTCTAATTTCTTTGATCTTATGCCCCATAATGAAGTTAAACATGATAGGATTCCAGCGCGAAAAGAATATGCATACCTTTCCTTTGATACTCCCGCCAGGGACCAGCATTTTCATCTGCATTTCTTGGAATGCAAACTCATCGAGCACGTCATCTATGTCGTAGCAAGCATCTTTGAGCCTTCCTAACCATTGGGTTAGAAGGGGTTCCTTCCTCTGCCTTTCCTCAGCGTCCACGATCAACAGTTTGATGTGGGAAAAGGTATTCCGAAGCCTTTTTAGCTCCTCTTCGACACCCCATGCCAAGCAAACTTCTTGGTAAGCAAAGGAAGCCAGCCCTGCCATGACACTTTCGGCAATGGTAGACACGAATTCCGCCATGATGATTCCGATTTCCGAAGGAGGAAAGAGAGTTTTAGTATGTATCAATATATAAGTTTTGATGAATGGAAATGTACGGATTTACTTGGGATTTTATAGCAACTTGGGTTTGCATCTAGAATTTCTTTCAAGTTTGCAGCATAAGGATTAAAGCACTCAAAGTATATATTCTTAATACCAAAAATGCAATGCTTTGAGTGGGAAAATAGTACAATTGATGTTCATTTCTTGTTCTTTGCTAATTCCATCCTCATTCTTTGGTAAAAACCGCAAGCAATCGTAGTTTTGATCGAATTTGGGAGATGCTATTCTTGTTCATAAACCGAAAAGAAAACGCATATTTTGAATCGTTTTAGCAAAAATGAATTCCTTGTAGGATAGGAATATATTCTTGAATTTCTTCGTAAGCAAGAAAGATTTTATTCAGCCTAATTGCAGTTTACAATTTTAACTAACTTCATGATACTGTACCAAATTGAGCCATATATTAATCAGCTGCATCTTCAAGCCTCAGTATCCACTGCCAGTAATGGTAATAAAGACCGTAAAACTGAGAAGTACGATTGTCAAGCATATCGAGTTGCACCACCTTTGACACTGCCAAGAATTTTCCAAGGTGTATTCGTTACACGTTAGCACCTAGTATATGTGGAATCTATTGTCAATCGTAGTTCAGCTTCATGACACTATGTCCACATGAACTGTTGAGTCGGACACTCTTTCTGTAGCTTTATTTGCCTAACCAAAACCAAAAATAGATTAGAAATAATCACACATTATGAAGAGGAAAAGTATAATTTGTGTTCCGATCGATAGATTGATTGATTGACTGATAGAGAAAGAGAGAATGCAACCTGTTTCTCCCAGTTTGTGCGTATGGTTACGATAAGAAGCAACAACACTTGCACAATCAGTGCACAGATGATCCCCAGCCAAAGCCCCTATGCAAAACAGTTTGACAGACAGTTATATAGAAGGGAAGGAAGAAAAGACAACCGAAAAACCCTTTTCTCTCGGTCATTTTTTTCTCTTTACCTTTCCACCAGCATGAAAGACGAAAGCCATCAAAATAGCCAAAGGAATTCCAACTAAGTAGTACGCCCCGAGATTAACATATGCTCCAATCTTCTGCCACCCACATCCTCTGGCAGTACCCGAAAGAACACACTGGAGGGCGTCTATAAAGTGGGATGTTGCAAGTATAGGCATCATGGTTGCAAGATAATCAACAACTTCTGTTTCGTTGCTATACAACACACACCGCTAAGCACGCTGTTTCTGGACGCCCTGCTCCTAATTCATTGGAGACACGAGTGCTGCAAATCATAGAAACAGGACAGAGAAGTAAACCCACACTTTAATCTCAAAGCCGGTCTTAACTTTCAAGTGTCAGAAAGTATTGCCATGAAAAATTTAAGAGCTTATTGACTTTATAGTTTTAGAAGCGTCATAACATAGCTCACCTCACAGCAGAACTGAGTCCGAAAGGGATCATCCAAACCATTGCCGCTGTATTCAAACTGGTAATTGATGTATTTGATAAGTAACAACATTAAAAGTGCAGGATATATCATAATCTAGAACACGTAAGCTATGGAAGAATGATCATCACAGTCAGGAACTAACCTGATAGAAAGCACTGAGGTTTCCAACTCTGGGTTTGGAAGAAGACCGGATGGAAGAACGATCATTTCAAATGATTACATTTCCAAGCTGTTAAAACTCATGGTCAACTGCATTAGCATCTTAGCCTCTCATATAACAGATCTTAGTAGTACACAAAATGACGGCTCAAGGAACAGCGAGCCTAATGAATGTAGTAACGTTGTGAAAGGCCTCCTTCGAAAAGCCTGTCCAAGTTTTCGCACATGACGAAGAGAACTTGACATAAAGAGCCAATAATAACACATTGATCCAAAAGGAGATTGAATATGCAAGGGCAGCTCCCCTGCCTCCAAGTCCGGATTTAAACACGAGAACCCAACAGAGTGGGATGTGAAGTAAAGCTGAAACCGCAGAGCTCAGCATCATCGGGAACACGATGTTTTGAGTTTGTAAGAATCTCACGAGGCACTGGAGGAGTCCGTATGTGAAAAGGGAAGCGATCGTGAATCGTTCAAATTCCTCAGCTTCTGCTGCAATGGCAGCATTTTGGCCTAGAGCTATTAGGATTGTTTTTGTGTTTGCGGAAATGATGGCAAGAGGTATACAAGCAAGTGAAAGAACTCCTACTAGACTATAAATTGTCTTGTCTTGTTATTTTATTCTCTCGTCTGCAAATAATGTATCTTGATTGAAAAAAATCTACAATCAGAATTATAGTCTTTATCTATTTAGATACAAAAAATCATTCGAATTGAAGATCGTTTAACCATCCGTATATATCAAATAAATAGACGAATCGAATATATTACTTAGTACTACAATATCGATTTGTTTTATATATTTGAATGACTAAATGATATTTGATTGAAATGATTTTTAGTATATATTATCTTCAAATGAAGATTAAAACACTAAAAAGTCCCGATTATGAATTTGTACCATCAAATAAGTTATTCGGAACCATAAAAAGCTAATCTTCAATTGATCTTGATGTATAATTATTATTTGAACATTTGAGTAGAAGTTGTCAAAATTTCTACGACGTCTTGGGGTTCAATAGCTTCAATCGGTGTATCATTGTACTTTGGTCGAAGTCTCGACAAAATCACGAACAAAAAAAATTGTATGTCTGAATTTGTCACCGTCCAGAACAAAAAGATTATCGATCTCGTCCACACCGAAACATAAACACCAACAAGAAGAACCAAAACTCACAGTCGACAAGAACCACACAGCTCTTGTAGGCAACCCTGTGAACCACAAATGTTTCATAACTGTAAATGAAAAAGAAAGAAGAAGATGGATGAAACAAATAGACGAATACAATATTGGTCAACGACCTAACTCAGTATACTTAAGCAGGCAAGTAATTAAAATTGGTTAATGACCTAACTCACATTTGCACATTTTGTTTGTTTTTTAACGTTACGTCTTTGAGAGTGGTGGCCTATACGATTGCCGCACACAAGAACTCCTCCTAATATCCCATCCTCCTCCTTGAAGTAGAATCAAGTTATAAAGGCTCAAGACAACAAATGTGCAGCTTCATTTTGTTTTCTTTCACAGGGCCTGATTGTTGGGTTTTCACTTGGGATTAAATGGTTAGACTTAGTTTAACTGATGCAAATGTCCCCAAACCATGGACTTTGGGTTCTACTTGGCCCATAAAAATGGACTTGGGTTCTAAATGTTGATGGTCTGTAGAAACAAATAAGGCCAACTACCAAAAGTTTTATACGATGATAAGAAATATAATTACATAGTGGATGTCGAGTTCTTGAAGAGGAAGAAGAACTTGTTGAAGACAACGATGAAAACTTGTGACGGATTTAAGTAAATTTATGTATATCAATATATATATGTGTGTGTGTGTGTCTATCTATACTTAAAAAAATAATATACTTGTATTAGAAATAAAATATTAATAAATTACAAAATAGAAGTAAAATAATACATAAAGTACTACAATTTATTGAAAATAAAATAAGGTGAAAAAGTTAAGCATATAATCATAATAAGTGTTCTTGGATGTTACATGTATCCAATAAGTTTACAATTCAAAAACACATAAAATGCAAAATGAAAGGAATAAAAAATGTATAATAATATAAGATACTTGTAAAGTTGCAAAGTTAGGCCTCAATCTCTTCCTCTCCATGTCCCTTGAAGACTCTCTCCAACTCAAACTCAACTCCTCATCGTCTCCTTCTTCTTCCATGTCCTCATCTGATACAAAATCTTCTTCATGAAGTTCTCTTACTTCAACATTTCTAGAACTCCTCCTAGGGTCTAAGGAAGAATCCACCTCGAATGCCTCTCCATCCATTCCCAAATCAAGCTCAACTTCTTCATCACCACTCTCCACAATCCATCATTGCGCCATACTAGCTTCACTAGCAAGTAGTATATCCATTTTCTTCCCATTTTCTTTTTCCTTCTTGGTCATGATCTTTGCATTGGATTGGACATAGACTAAATTATTTAACATTGTTGTATCTAGTCTATTCCTTTTCTTTGTATGTATCCCTTCAAAAGTGCTCCAATTTCTCTCACACCCGGATGAACTTGTAGTCAATGAGAGAATCTTTATAGCAATTCTTTGCAAATTAGGTACACGATTACCATAAGTAGACCACCATGAAACTAAAGAAGCATAAAGTACACAATTAGAATAAGACTAGTAAATAAAAATAGTTAGATTAGTAAAGAAAAATAATTAGTTTTGGAAAGTTATTAATAAGTAAGAGTATATGAATATTCATACCTAGATCATAGTTGTCATCATTCTCTATGCATCCAATCTCGGCCAAATGTCTTCCAAATCCACCCTATCTTTTCTTATACTTCGACATCTCTATATTTATTACTTGATTTTGGACTTCATAGTTGTCAGGGAGGAAATTCTCAACACAAGTAAACATGGCGTCCATGACAAGTGGATCATGTTGAATGCTTTGATCTTTGAAAAAGTAATAAGGGTTCAAGAAGTAAGCCGCCAAATGTAATGGACCATCAAGTCGATCACGGGCTTTTTCATCAATAATTTGCAGAATTTGTCTATAGTTGGCCTCATTATTTTTTAATGTCTCTTTAATCTCATTCCTTGCTTTTTGTAGCTTTCCGTACAAAAACCCCATTGAGGACTTTCTGCCACCATCCACAAGTCGAAGCACCTTAAATAAAGGTTCAAACACTTTCAAGCAAAGTGAGACCCTTTCCCAAAAATGTGCACTCATCATGGTAGCATATGCCATTTTTCCCTTTGTACTCTTGGAATGTTTGCATTGTTCCCATTCATCGCTAAAAACCATAATCCTTAAGTCCTTTCTCTTATCATTCAAGCTTTGCAAAGTTAGGAAAGAAGTTGCAAATCTAGTAATCTCAGGCCTCACTATGTCTCTTTTCTTCATATACTTCCTCATCAATGCCAATGTTTTATGATGTGCATAAATGAAGATAGTAAAAGATTTTGCCTTGTCGATCACTCTTTTGAACTTAGGTAGACACCCAATTCCTTGAATCATGAGGTTCAAAGTGTGAGTGGCACATGATGTCCAAAACATGTTTGGCCTCTTCAACTTCATCATGTTAGCCGCCCATGTTGTTATAAGCATTGTCTGTCACCACTTGAACTACGTTTAATGACCCAACTTCTTCAATACACTTGTCAACATATTCAAAGATGTACTCCCCGGTGTGTATCTCGGTCGAGCATTCCTTGGAAGAAAGAAATACCGTACCTTTCTTGCAATTAACACACAAATTCATTATGCTTCTTCCATTTTTTTCGCTCCAAGCATCGGTCATAATTGAGCAACCATTCAAAGCTCACTCTTTTTCATGCTTCTTAAGTGAATTTTTGACTCTCTCCACCTGTTCTTTCAACAATGGTTCCCTTACATCATATTGGGTTGGAGGTTGATAACCCATACCAAATTGACCAACTGCTTCCAAAAAAAGTTTAAAGTTATCATTATCAATAACATGAAAAGGGATACCGGCTTCATACACCCATTGAGCTAAATATTGATCCACTTGATGTGTTCTATTCTTCCAAATTGCATCATTGATATTTTGTTGTCGCGTCCCTTTGCTTCCGTCATTTGAAGAACCGGGATTGATGGTGGATGCAAACCTATCCATAAGCCCAAGAGTGCATGACATTTTCTTTGACCCAACAACTTTAATGTCTTCTTCTTCTTCAATATGTTGAAGTTGAACATTTCCCCTCACTTTCTTATTATGCTTACTTCTTTTATTCTTTTTATCTTTTGCCTCTTCTAATGCGGCTCTACATTTTGCTTTATCCTTGTCCAAAGACTTTGCAAACCCGGCTACATTTCCCTTGATGTTGGCAATGTGTTGTTTCATTCTATATACTCCACCACTAATT